ATCTCATGCTATAAATGTCATGCCTTTGGGAAGTCGAACCCAAATAGTGTCATGCACCTTCAGTGAGTCCCTCTCTGTGCTTTCCATTGTTAGAAGACTCAGGGATCTGAGAGGCACAAGCAGAACTAAACCAATATCCAGCTCTTAAAATCCTTCTTAAAGCCAGATATCCATTCCCTGCACGGACTTAACACTCAGGGCCTCCGACCACTCTGTCAATGATTTCAGGCCAACTGACTGAATATTATCAAGGCCTCAATATGTCTCCAGGCTGTTCAAACATTTACAGAGCTGTGAAGCACCAGGCTGAGGGATTCAGCTGCAAACCCTGCTGCTCACAAGGCTCCCGCACCGCGACTCCCATCCCAACTCTGTAAAGGGAAGGAAAAAAAGGGGACAAGGAGCTCATCAAGGTGCTGTGGGACCCGCTCAGGGTGAAGGGGCCTCTCTGCCCCACGTGGAGCAGCCTGCGGGCCGGCACACACCTCCCTGGAGAAAAGGGCTGAGAAACCGCCCCGGATTGGAGTCCAGAGCTGGCACGAGTCACTGTTTATCGGCTCGCTCGCTAGCACTTTCTGCCTTTAATAGCAACACGGTTCACTGCGACACGTGATTGCTGTTTGCGAGCAGGGAGCGGGAGCGCTCTGAGCACTGGCAGGCTCAGTGCAGCGTCCCCAGGTTTCTGGCTGCTACTTTTTTGCCCCGAGCGGCTCCAGCTGCAGCCCAGCCCTTGCTGCTGCCCGTCAGGCCCTGGCAGAAGGGCAGCCCCTATAAATAGCGGTGGGTATAATGCCTCCTTTCTCTGCCTCGCCTCTGCAGACGGACAGGGCTCGCAGCGCGCAGCCGTGGGAGCAGCCGCGGCAGCTCCAGACACCGTCCGCAGGCCCCAGGGAGGGATTCCCTTCCACAGCAAAATTCCAGCTCCACTCAGGCCGTGGGGCTGCAAATGAACCCAAACCATTGCTTCCTGCTGGCAGATGCGGAGGAATGGCTGGATCGAAGATGTTCTCTCTGTCCTGTCCTGCTTAAGTCTCGGCAGGCAGGAGGCTCCTTGGGGCAGGACTGCTTTTCTGGGAGATGGGTGCAATATTCACCAGGAGAGGCATCCAGCAATGAGAAACTGATATGGCATCTCCCAAAACAGCACTGCTGGCACGGCTGGGCTGGACACGTGTGGGACAGGCCACCCTGCCGGCGGATGGGACAAGCATCACGTGGCACGGAGCATCCCCGCTGTCCTGATGCATGATGCAGGACCGACGGGGACCACAGCAGCCGTGGGACTCACAGGAATGTGGGGCTGGCGCAACGAGAGCCCGGGTGCAGCACTGGGACTTTCTGCTGCCGCAGCCCCTGCTGTGACCATAATGACCAGAGTGACAACCAGGGAGCAGGGCCTTGGGTTTCCTGGACACTTTGGGCTGGTCAGGGTAAACACAGGGCCAGCCCAGAACACCAGCCCCATCACGTGCCCAGCGAGGGGGAGCGGAGCCATCGCCGTGTCCAGCCCGGCACTGCAGGATGCCCACTGGTGCTCGGGGCAGCACGGGGGCGGTTTGTGCAGATACCCTTTGGTGGGCAATACTATGGGTTGTATCTGGCTGGGGTGAAGTGGGAGGCTGGTCCTGCACGCGCTGCTCGGAGCACAGCCCCACGGCCGCGCGGTGCCTGTGCTCAGCGGGACCCACGCTGCCCCTGCAGCCTTTTCGTGCTCTGCTCTGTCCCAGGACTCGGGAGCCCGGCATGAACCTCTCGCCGGGAGGAGGTCCCAGCCCACGGGGCCTCGCTGCTGTCCCCGGGCAGGGCTGGACAGTCCCCAAGGGCCGGGCTCCAGGACACACGCGCGCCCTGTAATTACTGCAGCCACATCCATGTCCCGGCTGTCCCGGCAGGCAGTGCTGGACGCGCACCCAGCGCCGGCTCCAAGCCAGACGCGAGGCTGCTCTGCCAGCCCGCTCTGCACCGCGGGGACGCGGCCGCTGCAATGCCCTCTGTGCAGAGCACAGCATCCAGCATCCCCGTCGCTTGACACATCGTCACCACACAACACCTGTACATCAGGACGACACATCATGTGGTTCGATGCTCCGTCTGGTCCCAGCAGCCAAGCTGCCGACCCCAAACTGCCCATCTGTCCTTGCAGTCGAGCGAGGGCTGCTGGTGTCATCCCAGGCCCCTGTAGCTCTGGCGTCCTTGCAGTCAGTGCAGACACGGTCACAGAGTGAGGCAAGGCCATGGGCTGTGAGGGAGAGCAAAGCACAGCCCAGGAGGTGCCCCTGCCATGCCCAGGTTTGGGATAGTGCAGAATAACCCTTGGCCATGTGCTTGTGTGTCCAAGCCTAGACTGCCTGGACAAGGGCAGGCAGCTCCTGCTCTGACATGGTCCCACTGATGGGTATCTGTTGTGAGGAGGAAAGAGGCCAGTCTCCTGGCTGAGTCCTGTGGCGGAGAGCAGCACCTGCATGGGATGCAGCACTGAGCATGGGAAATGTCCTTCTAACAGACCCTCGTGCTATGGCAAAGTGCAGGAGCTGGGGAGCGTGAGGCACTCCTCTGCTTGAGAATGGAGCAAGGAAAGCAAAGCGACATCAGCGCTGCAAGCTGTGCTCATCCCACCTCAACGTGTGCCATGGATGGGTAGAGGAGGAGGAGCAGCAGGAGGAGCAACGGCGCCATCAGGACTGTGACTTCTGCCACTGAAGGATGCTCGGGAGCAGCTGGTGTGTGGGTGGGTAGATGCAGCTGCACAGGACTCTTCTCCTGGCCCTGCTCCCTGTGGATCCATCCCACACACAGATCAGCCCTTTCGCAGCCTTTTCTCACAGCAGTGACCGGCCGTCCTCCAGCCTGCACGGGGCATCTCCAGCGCAGGAGCAGTGCTGGAGCTGGGGAAAACCCTGCATGCGCAACTCCCCTCCAGCACTGGAGCTGGGGGAATCCCTGTAGGCACAGCTCCCCTCCAGCGCTGGAGCTGGGGAAATCCCTGGATGAGCAGCTCCCCTCCAGCACCACAGCAGCGGCAGGGAAAGCAGCCCGTGGCTGCTGGCCAGTGCTGGCGCCAAGCAGCCCGACTCCCGGCCACCAGCGAGCGCCACGAGGCGCCGGGGAAGCCCTCTGGGTCTGCTCGCACCCACAGACCCATGCTGGGTTGGGGGGAAGCTGGTCGAGGTGGCCACCCCATCGCATGCCGCTGTGGCCAGCCCGGGGGCCTCATCCTGCAGGGCGCTCAGCACCACTCAGCTCACGCTGGCTCCAAGGGGCAAGCAAGAAGCTGGGGTCAGGGACGGGGGCTCCAGCTTGGCCAGCTCTGTCTCAAGGCTCCATCACCCCAAACCTTCTGGATAAGAGCAGCTCTGCGGTCCCAGAGCCCTCCTGAAGTCCCTCTGAGCAGCCCTCCCAGGCTGGCCCGGTGGTGGGAGATCCCCGCTCCCTTCCCAGCCAGCTCCAGCGGCACGGGCTGCACGGATGAGGCCCGTGTGGCCAGCAAGGCGGCGGCCCAGGCCACCCGCAGATGTGCCAAGCTGGGCTATTCCTAGGGCAATGTGGGCACGGAGCCTCAACCACAGCGGAGCGACCAGCCGCAGTGTGGCCGGGAGCCCGCGCGGGCGCCGCGCTCGGCACGCGCAGCCCACGCGCCGCCTCCGCCTCTCCTGAAGGCCCCGGAGCACCAGAACCGGCTCCGATTCAAAGGAGAAACTTCCCCCCCCCTCAGCCTGAGGCACCATGGACATCGAGTTCATCAACATCCTGCCCATCCTCTGCCCAGCCATGAGGTGCTGGTGGCCACAGGAGGCCAAGGGAGGTGATACATGGGGAGGGCTTCCCCTCATCGGTTGTCCTGGGAATGCTGCCTGCATGGACTGCTCTATTGACACCCAGTGCTCTGGCCTCGGGGCACATGGATCTTATCTCCATGCTCATACCTATAAGCCAAGGGAAATGCCTGTGTTCTTCCTCAGCCAGGGAACTCCCGCCCTTCCCAGTAAGGACCTCATGGCACACGCGGCCCCAAGCACCCAGGGAGGAGAAAGTTCCCAAAGTGCCTTGGCCGGCGGGTTGCCCATTGCGACAAGTGTTCTTCACTGCGCTGAAACTGCAAAACAACCCCCTTTGCGGGGGAAATCAGCTCTGGGTGCGAGAGGGGTTGTAGCTCTATAGAAGATAAAAAAAGGAAATGCGAACACATCCTGAAGGCCATGTGGAGGAAGCACAAGCCCAAGAGGCAGATTTTATCCTGACAGACTGCCAATCAAACAAATAAACTGCTCATAAATAAATGAATAAATGGCAGCTCCAAAGCAAAGGCACTCCTGGGGCAGGGAAACTGAGGCACAGTTGGGCTCAGGGTGGCCAAGTGTGCCATCAGGATGGTGCTGCTCACCCTGAGGGGCTCTGGGGGTCCCTACACCTCAGGGGAATCCCTGTGCATCCTGGAGGGAGCTGCATTCCCTGGGGACACCATGAGCACCAGGGGCCAAACTGTGCATCCTGGAAAGGACCCACACGTCCCCTGTCCCAGGAACGTGCCCCGAGGGGACCTCTGTGCTCAGGGGACAGCTATGTGCTTTGGGGCACTGCAAACCAGGGGATACCGGAGGTACTGTGTGACCACGGGGGCTGAGAGGAGCCCCCCGGCCCGCACCCAGGGAAGAGCCGTGCACCCATGGGGAGCACCGCAGGGGGACCGTGCACTCCCGAGAGGACCGTGCACCCTCGGGGGGTCCCTGCACCCTCGGGGGGTCCCTGCACCCCGGCCAGGGCACGTCTCGCACCCCGGCAAGATCCGGGAGGCACGGGCGGGGGGCGGCGCGTCCCGGCGGCACCGGGAGGAGCCGGGCCCAGGAGCGGGGCCGGGGCGGGACTGGCGGGGCCCTGCTCCAATTGAGCGGCGGCGGCGGCGGCCTCGCACCGCCCGCGCTGCCGCCCCCGCCGCCCGCCCGCCCGGCGCGGGCTCCCGCCACGGCCCGCGGCGGCCGCGCTCCCACCGGCCCCGGTACCGGCACCGGCACCGGCCGCGGGCCCGGCCCAGCATGGACACATAGCCGCGGCGCCACGCGGGAAGGTAGGACCCCCCCCGACACACACGCGCTCGCACACGTCGCGGGGAGCCGCGCTCGCCGCCCGCCCCGACGCCGCGGTGAGGGGCGCCCAAGCGGGGCGAGTGGGTTTTTTGTTTCTTTTTTGTTTGTTTGTTTGCTTGTTTGTTTTTCTGGAAGTTGCTCCGTGAGTTTCCACGGCTCCAGGAGCGTTTTCCTTTGGAGAGGGGTTCGAGCCAAGCACCCCCAACGCCTGGGGACACCCTCCCCACGACGGGGCCCTCCGCTCTGCGGGCTGGGGGGCACCGGGCAGGGAGGGAAGAGCTGGTCCCGCTTTCTGGAGGCTCGGAGCTCGCTCCAGCGCGGGCGCTCGTGGGGCTCTACCCGCCCCGTCCCTCCGGGCCCCGCTGCAATCTCGGCTTCGCACTGATCCCCCCCAACACCCGCCAAGCACCGACTCCAGCCGGGAGCCTGGAATCCCCACGCCAGTCGAAGCAGGGAAGGCTACGAGACGGGGCTTAGTTTTGCTTGGACTTTTTACCGTTGGCAGACTCAGATCCCCCTAGCACGAGGAGTCTGCGGTGCCGTGGGGGTCTCCTTGACGTTTTGCCCCAGTCTTGCAGGGAGCTGCAGCGGCTCTGTGCCCCAAAAGGGTGCAGGACAACCCGGTGCTGTTCGCCTAGTGCCATGTGGGGCTGGTGGAGCATCCCTCGTGCCAGCGGGGGCCTGGGGGTACCCGATTGCTTGATGCGTCTGGATCTGCGTTTGCAGGCGGTGGGGAGGCTGTTTGTGCTCAGAGTCTGCAAGGGCAGGTCGCAGTGTGGCCGCGCTGCACAGAGCCCGCTGGAGCCTCAGGTAGCATCAGCGGAGCTGCATGCAGCGAGCTTGGGGTTTGCTCTGCTGGCTGCCTGTCGGAAACTTTGCAGGGAAGGGAAAACTTGACACGCTGATAATTTCTGATAAGCAACTTTTTCCCCGTCCCAGTGAAGTCTCCGGGCTGTCGCAGCTCTGGGGGAGGAGGATGCTTGGCTGGGTGCAGGCCCTGCTTGTGAGGGATGAATGAATGACTCACGGTGCTGCTGCAAGTTGTGTCAATCTTGGATGGGGCAGCAGTTCCCTTTTGCAGCATCCTGCTTTATCAGCACCCGCTTCCGTGTCCCAGTCCCGTGGTGCTGGGGAAACTCAAAGGAACGGGGCTCATCCAAGCCGGGGATCCGAGCTGCTTCCGCATCCCGCATCACCCTCATCCAGTGGGAACGAGCTACGCGCTGCCTTCCCTGCAGCCTCCCATCTCCCCCCTCCGCTCTCCTTGGAGGGCCGCTCCAATCCCTTCCTGCTTTCGCAGGATAAACCTTCCTCTAGTTTCCTGCCTCAGTGTATTCCTGGATGATTTATTCCCATGTGTGTTCGTGCCAACATTGTGCTTTTAGTTCAAAACCTTTTCTGCCTCTCTGGTGTTTTCCCTTATGTATTTATAGCTTCTTTATTATTTCATTAGGTTAAACGAGCTTGGAGGCTCCTGCCTCCTCTAGCTGAAGCAGCTCGCTGCTCCCTGAGCCTCCCTGCTTCCCGGCTCTGCCTTGTCCCCACCTCCAGCACGTGTTGTGTGCCCTTGGCAAGGGGAGCGGGTCCATGCGGCTCCTGCCAGAGCCATGTAGGATGGTCCTCGGAGGACCAGTGCTCCTTGGCTGGTGGCCCATGCCTGGCATGGGCACAGGGGAGGCCGCTGTCCTCCCACGAGGCTGGGTGCCAGTGCTGGCAAGCGGCTTGTTTATTCTCCCGCTGGCGCGGCCTCGGGAAGCCCTTGGGCCGCGGGCAAGGCTGCGCGCAGGGCGAAGCGGCGCCGGGTAAACACCTCGGGAGCAGGGTTTGCAGCCGGCGTGGGGCTGCTGGGCACGCGGAGCCCGGCCTGGAGAGGTGCCCGTGCGGGCGACGTGTCACGTGTGCGTGCAGGGCTGCTCCTCTTTGGCGCTTTGGAGCATCTGCACCCCTCGCAAGGTGCTTCCCAACCAAGGTTGGGTATTCCTCTCCTGCAGTGTCATGCGACAGAGAGGGTGCCTTTCCTCTCCTCCTCTTGAGGGTCAGACATGAGCAATTTACAGAGACAGATTTAGGCTCCGATGGGAACAGTTTCCTATGCGCGATGTGCCTGGGTCTCGTCTGGCATTTGGGACAGTGATGCAAAAGCAGCAGCAGGAATTAGCCCTAGGGTATCTGGGTGATTCTCTGGGATGTTTAGAGAGCTTTGGGTTTTTCTTTTAAGTGTTACTGTGGTTGCAAAAGCACTGCATGTGTGAAATGTCCCCATTTCTCTCTCAGCAGATTTGGTGACCTGGTGGCCCTTTTCTTACCAGCAGATCACGTTGTCCTCTCACACCTCTTCCCTTCCAGGTTATTAAGGTGGGATGTGTGCAGATGCCTTAAAGTTGCAGTTCGGTTCTCTTCTCTTTGCAGTCAGATTCCCGTGGACCATTTCCATGGAGGAAAAAAAAAAAAAAAAAAAAAAAAAAAAAATTCCTCTGGAAATTAGAAGCAGGTTTACCGTGTCAGAGATCAGTGTGTTAATAGGAATTATCTATTGAGTCTGGCTGGCTCCCAGGGCTCTGAGTCACTGTCTCATCTAGTCAACCTCGGTGCGGTTCAGGGACAGGGTGAGCTTTGGGCTTTTCTGGACACAGTTTTGCTGTGGCAGCTTCTGCAGCACCCCTAGAGCACGCACGGGGCTCCTTTGCAAAGCCTTTAGTGCTCCTGGGCATCAACAGGAGAGTTGATGGGGGTAAGAGAGTTTTTCCACACATCTTGGGCTGGGTGAGAGGTTGCAACACAGTGAGTGGCTCTTGGTGCTCGCAGATTTTGGCGTCGCAGGGACTCTCCGCTTGTTTTCCACTTTGGAGTTACCTCTCGACCCTGGCACTTGGGGAAAGCATGTTGGCTGTCCCCCAGGACTGCCGTGGGCAGGTGGGTGCCAAGCTCCTCATGCGTGAACAAGGGGAGCAAAGGGTGTCCTACAGTCCCCTGTGTCTTCTGCTGAGGCTCCATGGGTGGGTGGCACCCCATCCCCTACCAGAGCCAGGAAGAAAAGTGTGTTTATTCTTCTTTCTTTTGTTTTCTGTTTTTTTTCCTTCTCTTTTTTCTTTTTTTCCTTTTTTCCTTTTTTCCTTTTTTCTTTTTTCTTTTTTTTTCTTTTTTCTCTTTTCTATTTTCTCTCTTTTCTCCTCTTTTCTCCTCTTTTCTCCTCTTTTCTCCTCTTTTCTCCTCTTTTCTCCTCTTTTCTCCTCTTTTCTCCTCTTTTCTCCTCTT